CTTGGAGGAAGAAACTATCCACACGCTCATCAGGAGGCAGCTTTGGTGGCCATTGGAGAACTTCGTCACCACTTTGATGAGGAGTTGGAGCTCGCCGCCGGTTGCCATTCGTCGTCACCCGTCGACGAGCTCCAACTCCTCATCAAAGCGGTGACGAAGCTCTCCAATGGCCACCAAAGCTGCCTCCTAACGAGTGTGCAGATAGTTTCTTCCTCCAGCTTCAAACATCATTGACGGAAGGTCTTCACGATCACTGATCAGCGTCACGTGAACACGACACTCTCCTCGTTACGGTCATGGGGAATTTGGCTATACTCCGGAGCAACGCCATATCCTATGGCAAACGCCATCATCCTCAGCTCCCTGGGGAATCCTACTACACTGATCAAATTTTATGGCTGACAAAGTGGCGTATAGAGAACACATGATAAGAGAGAGCACATGATAAGAGAGAGGGTTAATGTATTGATTCAAGTTGACTGCAGAAATTAAGGAAAAGACGACTCCCAAAATGATTAAATTAAACAGGATTTTTTTAAAAAAAACAATAAAGAAGCAATCTCCGAATATTTTTTTTAGGAATTTCAAAATTTTCCTTTTTCTTAGGAAATTTTGAATTTTTTTTAATTTTCGAAATTTCTTTTAAAAAATAGCCTATACAGTACTTTGTAAATAACCACTTTTTCAACAAACAGAGGCAATTAAAGACAGTTTTGTTAATTGACTTATGAAAATGTGTTTTTTTGAAAAAAAAAAACACAAACTAAGGTCTACTAAAGCACTGTACAATATCATCATTAAAAGGGATGAGTAGTAATAGTGCCAATTTGATGTTACCGATACAGTAATAAGCTAAAAAAAATTTTAGAAAACATATTTTGCAGGAAAGGGATTGATAATATTTCTATAAATAACCTTGCATTGCATGTGCCGTCAACTTGATTAATTTATAAGAGGAAGAGATCAGAATGCTAAACAGTAAAAAAAATTAGAAAACATCTTTTGCAGGAAAGTGATTGACAGTATTTCTATAAATAACCTTGCATGTGTCATCAACTTAATTATGTTATAAGAGAAAGAGATCAGAATGCTAAACAATTTTTTTTTTTAGAAAACATCTTTTGCAGGAAAGGGATTGACAGTATTTCTATAAATAACCTTTTGCATGTGCTGTCAACTTAATTAATTCATAAGAGAAAGAGAGAAGAACAGTTCTACTTTTTCAAAATTTTGAAGGCTTCTTAAGATTTACCATTTGGCTTGTCCTATGGTCAAGGTGGCTCTGGCTCTGATACCAACTTGTCACGCCCGGAAATCCACTAGAACAACTCATTTGCGTAAATAGCATTTAATAAACTTTAGAGAATTTAGTAAAACAGTTGTAATAGATAAACAATATTAAATAAACACTATACAACATACCCGTTGCATAGGCCCAACCAAACCTGAACAACAAGCCCCGAACAAGCCTCGATCATACAGATCAAACCTCCAAACCAAAAATTAACCATTCCAAACCAGGAGTTACACTAATCATCATTTATCACACTATTATTATTAATGAGTAGTGTGGAACTAATCACGAAAAACATTGTTAGACCAGCCCATAACCGTGAGCACGATTATTCGAATAGGTTTACTCTGGCCAGAGATGTACCACTATTCCTACAAGACACGATTTCACACATGTTGCCATGCCCCGAAGTACCACCACTGCACTCCAAAGGAGGAAATCATGACAATACCCTTCGCATAACACAATTCACTACAGTGCACCATTCCCGGAACCTAGTCACCCCCTTTTAGCCAAGGAATGGACTCCCTAGCGACCCCCGTGGGCTTACCTCCGCCACTTCACAGTCAGATACTCTGCAATGAACCACGCTATATAAAAGCTAAAGCCATTGCCCATGCTAGCTTGTGGATGATACGGTTAATGTTTCATAACAGTAGCTCACGAACCGGTCCTTAATTGTCATGAGCACGACCATCAAAATTATGTGCACACAACCCGCCATTATCAAGTTATAGTTGACAATTAATTAATTAACCAATCACAATTGACCATCGTGAGCCACCATTAAATACCCATCATTAAGTAATACTGAAGCATTAGTTATCCCAATCATGTGCTAATGTTTCTAAGCATGGCTAATCAAATTATAACCCAAGATATCAAGGAATATGGTAATCAATGCAAAGTGGCCATAACAAAGGAATAAGTTCACACCACCCGGTGACATTCGAAAATAAATGCACATTTGAAATAAATAGAGAATATGGTAATCAATGCAAAGTGGCCATAACAAAGGAATAAGTTCATACCACCCGGTGACATTCGAAAATAAATGCACATTTGAAATAAATAGAGAATTTAAATATAGAATCAACATGCTCAAAGGAATTGTTTTTGGGATCTGTATAACCTGCCTTGCAATAATCGGACTTCAATTAGTCTTCTGAAATACTTCCGACGCACTTGTGAACCTTTGAAACGACGGAAACGACAGCAAACACACAAAACGAGGAAAAGACTAACTCCAAATAAACAGTAAATAAAAAGTAAACAAACACATAGATCATGATTTTAGATGAATTACGAGACTTGAACGGCCTCATTCCGACTTCATATGATTTAGTTATGAATTTTAGAAGATTTAATTCAATTAAACCTATTTAATAAACTTTTAAAACAATTTATAGATAACTTTAATATATAGATCTTTATTTTATACAACCTTTGCAACTTAAACCACATTAATCCGATTTACCATGAATTAGATATGAATTTTCTAAGATTAAACAACTTTTAACCATTAACAGAAATTATATTGGAATTATGACGCAATAAAGAATTAATTTTAAAAAGGGAAAAGAATTATTGCGTCATCAAGGATCGGTATCAAGGATCGGTCCACTGTAAACCGGTTCACAGAAGCGGTCCACGGAACCGACGGCCGAGATCTAGTTGACCTAAAATTGACCGGATCGGATGGCGGAGATTGATCCGATCTACCACGTGGCGGCAGCTAACGGGACGCTGACATCAGCGATGACATCGTAGCCGGCGGTGGCTCGGAACCCTATGGTCGCTGGGGATCTAGAGCACGGCGGTGCAAACCGAGGGCACCGGAGGAAAGAGCACGACGAAGGGAGCTTACCGAGGGGCGGCGCGACGAGAAACAGTGATGGGAGACGGCCGGCGACGGTGCTCCGGCGGCGAGGTTAAAGAGGTGGCGGGCTCGGGTTGACGGCGGCGACGGCGTTCCGGCGAGGTACGGCAGCAACTGAGGGGTAGACGGCCTTCACCTTGCTCTTGCAAACCCAACGGAGGCCACGATGACCGAAGGCGGCGACTACGGCGACTGCTAGGAGCGGCTACCGGCGGCGGAGAGAGACAGCCGAGCTCGGGGAGAAGGATTTAGGGCACGGGAGCTCGAGCTAAGGGTTGGATTAGGAAGAGGAGGGCATGGGGGTTCTATTTATAGACACGGGAGAGAGATCGGGCTTGGAACGCAAGGAATCGCGCCAGGAAAACCTAGGGTTTAGTTGGAGAGATTAGCTCAATTCCGCGTTGATTTCTTCGGGATAAGGTCCGCTTTTGGGGGGAAACGGAAGATAAAGATAAGGGGAATATTTCCCCTCAACAAATTCAAGGAACGGCCGAGAGAATCGAGCGAATCGGGCGGAGGACGGAGGCGTCGGGCGGCACTGGGTCGGACACGGGAGGCCTGCTGAAGCTTGAAGACGACACTGTAGCTTGGGGAGATAAAGCAGACTTTTTCCTGAACTTCCATTTCCTTGCTTGGGCCGGCTGAGAGAGAGGGACCAAGTTAGACTTGCGCAGAGAAAAGGGAAGGAAAGGCTGCTGGATCGGCTGGGCTGAGAGAGAGTTGGGCCAGATTAAGCCCAAAACTTTGGAAAGGATTTTGATTTCCTTTTTTATTTAAATAATTACTGAAGTATTCTTTGTATTATTAAAATTAGTAATTGAGCTTTGAAAAATCTGAGATAATTCCAGAGAGTATAATTAGTCATGGAGAATTTAATAAAAATTAAATACATCCATTCTTTATATTTAGGAAATTTTATTTCCCACATTTAGCTTCACTTGTAAATTAATGAACATTTAATATAAATTCTAAAAATAATTTGTTAAATAATCTATAAATCCTAAAACAAAAATCAGGATGTGACAGCTCATCTTTTGGAGTGGCTCCATTAAGATCCATAAAATCAATGCAAACCCGGATTTTTCCAAAATCTTTCTTCTTAACGGGCACAATGTTAGAAACCCACCCCGCATACCTGCATGGACGAATAAAATCCGCTTCCAACAACCAATTAATTTCTTCTTTAATCCGCTCAAATATAGTAGAATTAAAGCGACGCGGGTGTTGCTTATGAGGCATAAACCCAGACTTAATGGGCTTCTAAGTTTTGATTTATAAACATCAGCCTAGTCACAGAGCCATCCGCAATATCAACTTGTTCCATTGGGTCGGCCGACGTGAAACCTTTGTCCTAATTTATCAAGCTCATCAAAATCATCAATAGCTTCATAGGTATCGGTCATATAAGCCGATATTGCTCAACACGATGTTTTAACCACTCTAAATAATTAGCATCCATTGATAAAAATGAGTAAATTCTCTGTGTACCCCTAAAAACTCACTCAATCCCTTCCGTACCCCTGAAATTTACTCGATCTCTTCTATACCCCTGAAATTTTAACTTGATCCCTTCCATGCCCCTACCGTTACATTTTCTATCATTTCACTATTACGTTTGGTTGCAAATGTATTTTTTGCCCTTGATACTTTAGGTTTAAATATAAACTTAAAAAACGATTGAAAATTTTGTTTGATGCGCACAGTATGTGCATTTTATGAAACTAATGAGAATAAATAAATAGTGCAGAAAATTTTGACATAAATTTTGGAAATAAAATAAATGAAATAAATTAAATTTTTATTTGAAATAAAATTAAATTCCGGTACTACTAACCATTGTTGCTGTTCTTGCTGTTTGCCAACGCCTTTTACATAACAAAGTAAGAACATGTAAGAACTCGTTTGCACAAGTTTGGTAGAAGTGGAGATGGACAACACCTAGCTCCAATAGTTGATAGGACATATTTCTTGTGAATTGTTTCTTCCCATTAACCATGACAGGAGGATCGGGGGAGCACCCTCAACATTCACCACGTACGAGGGGCATCATACAACATTTTGAGCGCCAAGTGAGGGAGCATGCAGAAGGCCTTGATGAGGATGTTAGGGTCGCCAATGATCGCCTTGGTCAATTGGAGGCTGCTCAAATTGACACCAACTCCAAGCTTTCCTCATTGGAGAGGTCCCTTGTGGCTGTGAACACTTCTCTTGCAGGTATCTTGAATACGTTGGAGAGAATGGGCCAAGATGGTCATGATGGATCGGCTAGGCACAACCACAATGGCCATGATACTAATAGCAGCATCGCAGCAAGGGAAGAACTGGAGTACGCTGCTGACACCGAGCATGATGAGGAGTTACTTGGTCGTCCACAAAGACAACAGCGCCGGCAGCGCCATGGCATGGGCGCTCCACCACGGCGGGAGGTACGTGATAATGATGATTCTTTAGGCAAGATCAAGTTTACCATTCCTTGCTTTGATGGAAAATATGACCCTGATGCATATCTTACTTGGGAGTTAGCCATTGATCAGAAATTTGCTTGCCATGATTTTCCTGAGAATAAACGTGTTAGGGCTGCTACTAGTGAGTTTACTGATTTTGCATCCATTTGGTGGAGTGAATTTGTTCGTTCCAATCCAAATAACACTCCCCAAACCTGGGATGCAATGAAAAGAGTCATGCGAGCTAGATTTGTTCCTTCATATCATGCACGTGATTTGCTGCACAAATTGCAGCAACTTAGACAGGGAAACAAATCTGTAGAGGAGTATTATCAAGCTTTGCAAACAGGAATGCTTCGTTGTGGATTGGTAGAAAATGATGATGCTGGTATGGCTAGATTCATGGGTGGGCTGAACCGAGAAATTCAAGACATTCTAGCCTACAAAGAATATAATTCAATTAATCGTTTGTTTCATCTTGCTTGTAAAGCTGAAAGGGAAGTACAGTGACGAAGAGCTAGCTTCAGGACTAACATTTCTGCAGGTCGTGCTAGCTCTTGGACACCTTCCAACACTGCTGCACCGTCAACTCGAGCAGCAGCACCATCGTCCTCAAGCAACAAGCTGCGTCCCTCTACAACAAACTCTACACCATGCCCGAGTGAACCAACAAGAGGGGTTGCTGCTACACCTTCCAAGAGCTCATCATCAGTAGCATCATTAGGAAGGACAAGAGATATTCAGTGCCTACGCTGCAAGGGCTATGGTCACGTGCGCAAGGACTGCCCAAGCACTCGTGTAATGATCGTGAGAGCTGATGGTGGGTACTCCTCCGCTAGTGATTTAGATGAAGAAACCTATGCTTTGCTTGCAACTAACAATACAGGGGAAGGTGACGCGCCCCACCAAGATGAGGAACACATTGGGGCTGAAGCTGCAGAGCACTATGAGAGCCTCGTGGTGCAGCGAGTGCTAAGCGCACAAATGGAAAGGGCTGAACAGAATCAGCGCCACACCTTGTTTCAAACCAAGTGTGTGATCAAGGAACGCTCTTGCCGCGTGATCATATATGGAGGAAGCTGCAATAATTTGGCTAGTGCTGAAATGGTGGAGAAACTTGCATTGAGCACACAGCCACATCCGCAGCCCTACTATATTCAATGGCTTAATAGCAGCGGCAAGGTAAAGGTAACACGATTGGTAAGAGTACATTTTGCCATTGATTCTTATCATGATTCAATCAACTGTGATGTTGTGCCTATGCAAGCATGTTCTATGTTATTAGGTAGGCCATGGCAGTTTGATAAAGATTCTTTACACTTTGGCAAATCCAATCAATACTCCTTTGTGCATAATGGAAAAAAACTTGTGTTACATCCAATGTCTCCTGAAGTTATTTTAAAGGATGAACTTGCTAGAGCTAGTAAACAAAAAAAATCAAGAGCATACTAGGAGTGAGCATCTTATTGCGGCTAATGAACTTGAGAAGCATAAGAACAAACCCACCAACTCTGTTCAAAATAATAAAAATGAGATTAAGCTAAAGAGATCTTGTTTCATTGCAACAAAATCAGATTTGGATGAAGTTGACACTGACACTGTTGTTTGCAATGCTTTGGTTTGCAAAGAAACCTTATTTCCAATTGAGGATACTCCTATTTCTTTGCCTCCTCCGGTCACTAACCTTTTGCAGGAGTATGCTGATATTTTCTCAAAGGAGGTTCCACCGGGGCTGCCACCAATTCGAGGGATTGAGCACCAAATTGACCTCATTCCTGGGGCCTCTCTGCCAAACCGTGCGCCATACAGGACCAACCCGGAGGAAACAAAGGAGATTCAGCGTCAAGTGCAAGAGTTACTCGACAAGGGGTATGTGCGTGAGTCTCTTAGTCCTTGTGCTGTCCCCGTGCTTTTAGTTCCTAAGAAAGATGGCTCATGGCGCATGTGTGTGGATTGTAGAGCAATTAACAACATCACAATCAGATATCGTCATCCTATACCTAGGCTAGATGATATGCTTGATGAATTGAGTGGTTCACTTGTGTTCTCCAAAATTGATTTGCGTAGTGGTTACCACCAGATTCGCATGAAGTTAGGAGATGAATGGAAAACAGCTTTTAAAACTAAATTCAGCCTATATGAGTGGTTAGTCATGCCCTTTGGTCTCACTAATGCACCCAGTACTTTCATGAGATTAATGAATGAAGTTTTACGTGCTTTTATTGGCAGATTTGTGGTGGTATATTTTGATGGCATTCTCATATATAGCAGATCAATAGAGGATCATCATGGTCATTTGCGTGCTGTTTTTGATGCTCTACGAGATGCACGTTTATTTGGTAACCTTGAGAAGTGCACATTTTGCACAGATCGAGTCTCTTTTCTTGGCTATGTTGTGACTCCGCAGGGAATTGAAGTAGATCAGGCCAAGGTTGAAGCCATACATAGCTGGCCGGTTCCAACAACGATCACACAAGTGAGAAGCTTTCTAGGACTTGCTGGGTTCTACCGCCGCTTTGTGAAGGATTTTAGCACCATTGCAGCCCCACTACATGAGCTTACCAAGAGAAATGTCACATTCACTTGGGCTGCAGCACAAAGGAATGCATTCGACACTTTGAAAGATAAGTTAACACACGCTCCTTTACTCCAACTTCCTGATTTCAACAAAACTTTTGAGCTTGAATGTGATGCTAGTGGAATTGGATTGGGTGGTGTGTTGTTACAAGAAGACAAACCTGTAGCATATTTCAGCGAGAAATTGAGTGGGCCTAGTTTGAATTATTCTACTTATGATAAGGAATTGTTTGCTCTAGTGCGAACATTGGAAACATGGCAGCATTATTTATGGCCCAAAGAATTTGTTATACACTCTGATCATGAATCTTTGAAACACATTCGAAGTCAAGCAAAACTTAACCGTAGGCATGCTAAATGGGTTGAATTTATTGAATCTTTTCCATATGTCATCAAACATAAGAAGGGAAAAGAAAATGTCATTGCTAATGCTTTGTCTAGACGTTACACAATGCTATCCCAACTTGACTTCAAAATTTTTGGCTTAGAAACAATAAAAGAGCAATATGCGCACGATGATGATTTTAAAGATGTGTTGTTGAATTGCAAGGAGGGAAGGACTTGGAACAAATTCGTTCTCACCAATGGGTTTGTGTTTAGAGCTAATAAGTTATGCATTCCAGCTAGCTCCGTGCGTATGCTATTATTGCAGGAAGCGCATGGTGGAGGGCTGATGGGACACTTTGGTGTGAAGAAGACGGAGGATATCCTTGCTAATCATTTCTTTTGGCCCAAGATGAGGAGAGACGTGGAGAGGTTCGTTGCTCGCTGCACAACATGCCAAAAAGCTAAGTCACGCCTTAACCCTCATGGTTTGTATATGCCTTTGCCTGTTCCTAGTGTGCCTTGGGAGGATATTTCTATGGACTTTGTTTTAGGGCTGCCTAGAACAAAGAAGGGGAGGGACAGTATCTTTGTTGTTGTAGATAGATTTTCTAAGATGGCACATTTCATACCTTGTCATAAGAGTGATGATGCTACACATGTTGCTGAGTTGTTCTTTCGTGAGATTGTTCGCTTGCATGGAGTGCCAAACACCATAGTTTCTGATCGCGATATAAAATTCCTTAGTCATTTTTGGAGAACCTTGTGGGCTAAGTTGGGGACTAAACTTTTATTTTCTACTACATGTCACCCCCAAACTGATGGACAAACTGAGGTGGTGAATAGAACATTGTCTACAATGCTTAGGGCTGTTTTGAAAAAGAATATTAAAATGTGGGAAGAATGTTTGCCTCATGTTGAGTTTTCTTATAACCGTTCACAACATTCTACTACTAAGAAGTGCCCTTTTGAGATTGTTTATGGCCTTCTACCCCGTGCTCCAATTGATCTTTTGCCCCTCCCAACTTCAGAAAGAGTGAACTTTGATGCAAAACATCGCGCTGAATTGATGTTAAAACTGCATGAGACCACTAAGGAGAACATAGAGCGCATGAATATTAAGTATAAACTTGCTGGGAGCAAAGGAAAGAAACATGTTGCTTTTGAACCTGGTAATTTGGTTTGGTTGCATTTGAGAAAAGATAGGTTCCCTAATTTGAGAAAATCTAAGTTGCTACCTAGAGCTGATGGTCCTTTCAAAGTGCTACAAAAGATTAATGACAATGCATACAAGCTTGAGCTACCTGCCGATTTTGGGGTTAGCCCCACGTTTAACATTGCAGATTTAAAGCCATATTTGGGAGAAGAAGATGAGTTAGAGTCGAGGACGACTCAAATGCAAGAAGGGGAGGATGATGAGGACATCCCTTCCAACGATACAACCACGCCTATTGCACAGCAAGGACCAATGACTAAAGCTCGAGCTCGTGAACTTAATTATCAGGTAAAGTCATTCCTAGCTAATCATACAAGTTCTTCTCAGAATTGGGTGCTACTAAATGGTTGTTGTGATCTACTTGTTGTTAGGAATATGGGAGAGGAACCAGATCGCAAGCAGCACTAGCAGCGCTGATTTGATGAAGTCAATGCTCTTCACTCCGGAGGGCAAACGGGGCAAATGAGTACTTGTTGGAAAGATCTCGTCGTCTACTTTCAGCTATGTGTGGCCTCACCATCAAATTTGACCCAGGCTGCTCAGAATGACGAAAATAGTTCTTTACATCAGAAACTTGGGCTTGGGCCTTGTATCTTTACAGCCCATTAGGGGTCCACAAAACCTAGGGTTTGCTCCCACCTCCTCTCCTGGTCATTCCTCCACCTATATAAACTCCTAGCAGCCACCATTTTGCATTTTGGGTTTTGTTTTGATGTAAGTTTAGCTGCAGCTACTTCCTTGTACTCGCGTGTGTCGGCTAGACCACCCGGATACTTGTATTCAGAACCCCATTTTGGTTTGTTTCAGTTTCATCATTTGACAAGTGCCGTGAGCTGTTTCCTTGTCAACTTGTTCTTGCTTGTTCTTCGATTGCTTGCAGGTTCAAGGTTGTTCTTGGCACGGCAAGAACAGCAACAACGTGGAGTCGGTGTACCGGTTGCTAAGGCGCAGCACCCCTGTGGTAGTTGTAGTCGGACCGCCAACGTCGTGTCCTCCCTCAAATTGAAGTTTATCCTCCTCTCATCGAAAGATCGGGAACCCCCGTTGCTGCATGTCACGCCCGGAATTTCTATCCAAAATTCCAAACGCTTACATGTGTGTGAACCCTCGTCCAGGAATCAGCCGAGGCACACAATAACAAATTGATAATAGAGTACAATTATTACTCTAATTAATAAGCGAATATAATGTCATTACAGAGGTAGATAGTTCCTCTCAATCAATAAAGATCTAAGCAGCGGAAAAATAAAATAAACGGCGCAGACGGCTCCACTCCACAGGCAGCTTGACCAGGGCTACACCTAATCCTCCCCACCATCAGCCTCATTGTAGAACTCTTCCTCTGATGAATGATTGCAAGGTGAGTATATGACATACTCAGCAAGCCACGCAGCAAATATGCAAGTGCACAGGATAACAAAGGATGGCATAGTAGGGT